CATACTGTTTTTGTGTTATATTGCACTTCCCCTTTCCCTACGAATGTAAGCCGCCCTGAGTCCCCTCAGGGAAAAGGGCGGCCTATAAATCCCAATAAAACTAAAATCTAAAACTAAATAAGACCAGTGTTTCTCAATCTTGGGAATTCTGGGAGTTGAAGTCCACCCCTCTTAAAAGTTCCTATAGTTGAGAAACACTGAACAATAAGTCAATTATCCCATATTGACAAGTTCTGCCAATTTCTCTAACCATTCCTCCATATACTCCATTGGGTAATACCCAAACTTTCCCTCATTGAGCATACAGTAATCTCACTGCATAGATTGAAATAATATTCCTAACTGTTCACCCATCAGTCTTGAAAAGAAAAGCTCTGGCTTTAATGCAGACAGTAGATCCCATCGTTCTTTATACATGTTTAAAATTCTGGGGAAATGCAACTGTTGTCTTGTCTATTTCTTCCACTGTTAACTATAATCTTCATTTGAGTTATATATTCCCAAAGGGTAACAGTTTCCCGTAACAACAAAGCCAGAAGGCAGTCAAGGAGTGCCATAAATACCACCAAATTAAAGTTTTTTTTAAAATAAATAAATCCCTCCCTTGCTAGCAGAAATGCATATATTCCTATGCCAATGTCCTGCATCCACAAGGCGCTCAATAATAACTCAATACATTTGATGGCATTATATTAGTGTATTCTGCATTGCACCAAGCACCACGTGACAAGCAGAAGAGGAAGATGGCTGATGTCACGATGCCAAGAACAACCCATGATGGCTCTGATGTAGCACAGTGATCCACTAGATCCTGGAAGAGTAAAAAAGGGCTTCTTCCTGGTATTTCAACTATTGCATTAATACAATAGTAGTCACCCCAGGCTAGGAGCAAACTCTCTGGTGGTAAACAATGTCACAATTGAAAACTGAAGATCACAAGGCCATGAAATGCTATCTGTACATCTTTCCTAACAGATTTATATAGATTGGTACAAACATTGGAGGCCATGTGTTTCTTCAAATTATACATACATACATACATACATACATACATACATACATACATACATACATACATACATACATACATACTCCAATTAGAAAAAAGAATAAAAGCTACCTAGTTCTAGCTATGGTAGAAGATCCCAAGCTGCAGGCTTTTTCATGCTATTATAGCAGCAAAAAAGTAGACCAAGTGTCTATTTTTGCTCTTTCATTAAGGAAGTCTGCCCAGGCTTTATCTTTTGCTCTCAAGCTGGCATATTTTCTGATTAAAAACAACGGGTTATTCCTCTTTTGTAAGTTTAAACTCCGTATCACAAAACATCTGCTTAATTTGGGCACAAGCCGTATTTCTTTGGACACAACGCATCCACTATGCAAACACTTTCACTATTCAGGAACCATGCGGGAGATACACAGCACATTTGCATATGGAGAAAAATAATGGTGGACCTGGTAGAAGTTGTAAATGGGGTCGGCTAACTCTCGTTTTCAACCCATAGCTTGGATAAGTTGCCGGGGATGAATGTCAAGTGAACACCCAGGGAACAGGAGGGTGGAGGGAGTGTCAAAACACACATCATAGCATCCCTGTGGAAAACCCTGTGACTTGTGTATTTGCATCATGAAGTCACACTATATATTTTGTCATTTTTCTTTCTTTCATCATAATCAGATACTGAGGGGTGAACAAGAGCCAGAGTTACAGTTGATAAGCTTAAAGACTCTAATGCTGCAGATGTTGTTGTTTTTTTAAGACTATGCTCTACTTCAGCAGGAACAAGTGTACGGTGGAAGTAGCAGCAAATTCTTGGGAGGAAATAAAAGGAACTGAACCTCCCTAGAACACCCTTTGAATGGTGTGGGAGTAGGAATAGAGAGAAAAATTGCAGACCACAGGAACCAGAAGCACCACTCCGGTGACCCTGGGGAGACAGATAAACCTCCAAGGATCCTCTAAAAAGATGTAAATGACCAGCTGTTTGCAAGGAGTATAAATCCTTCCATTCCCCACTGCCTTGTCAGAGCTGAATAAGCTTCTTGGATGAGAAGCGAAATGTCTTCCAAAGGAAAAATAAGGAAGTCCAATGGCCTCCTGAAAAAGCACCTTTGGGAAAACCATGACCTGGATAACTGAGAATCTCTACAGACCCCGCATTCACACAACCCAGGGACTCACGGGTTGTACACCTACAGCTGTCTGTTTCATGCATACTGTAATAATGTATTATATGCACAATGAAGTTCACATTTGATGTAATCATTTGCACGGCACATACTATAACTGGGAACCCACACACGGAAGAGAATGCTGGATAAAGCCCTTGCCTGGGAAATATTTAATGTAACTGAATTCCACATTTCCTCACACCTTCCCAAGAGCACCAGACTGTCTTGCAATATGTTTGCTGAAGTCAAAACTATGTGCACTCAGGGCTTAAGTACGGGGAAGGTCACCCCACCTACCTGAAAAGAAAAACAACCTGCTACAGAAAGATAATGGCTATTTCCACTATTGTAACCTGTGTCGGCCACATCAACAAATACCACATATACCTCTATTTGCAATAAGGGCAAATATACATTCTGTCTCTGGTGAATGTATATGATCTATAAGAAACTAAGGTGCAAAACAGGTGTGTTGATTTCATTCAGTAACACCAGGTGAGCTCAATGGAACGGACAATACATACGTATAAGTTATGTTGCACCCTAAATACTGTACTAACCATCTCACCGGGCTTCTTCGGGTACCTACAGTACATTGACGGTTTATCTATTGCTAAAGAATTGTTTTGTTTTAATTTCAACTATCAGGGCTTTGGTTTAAGTCTTCCAAACATTGGGAACACAAGATAATAGAACACAAGGATCTGTAAGCTATTATCTAATCTGCTCCTTTGCAAAGAAGGAAATTGCTAAATACATTTAGCAATTAAAATTAGCAGGGAATGCACAGACACACAAAATTAGAAATCGCCGTCTTAAAAATGGGAAGGCACTTAGTGGAGATTTAAAATGCGACTCATAATAGAGGCCACAAGACAAGCTGCCAATATAATTTAACTCTTAAAGCTCCTTTCCCAAATCAAAGGCTGTCTCTACTGAAGTCACACCCTATTTTGTGCAATATACCTTGTACACAGAGTCAGGCTAAGAAATGTTTCTTAACTCGAGTCTGGAGTACTGTGAAAAAAAAAAATTAATGGCAGGTACATTAAAAACCTCAACTGTCAGCATCTTTAAGTCAGCTCCTGGTTGACTAGCAGGCAACACCACGTCAATCTAGATAGCCTTATAGATATTTTCTGGATGTCTCCCTAGAAAAATCAATTGAGCCCACAGTTAAATAGGAGAGGAAGATTGGGGGGCGCGGAGATTCCTTGTACAATTCTGATGTTAACTCTTTAAAATGAAAAACCTACCCAGTCCTGAACATCAACTCCTCTGTCACCAAGGCTGCCCCCAATTGAGGAACCACAAGACATCTCCCCTGCATCTGCCCTCAATTCTTTGACTCTCTGCTTTGCCCAAAAATTCATCAGAACCCAAGGGATGTACAGTTATGGGGTTTTGTAGGGACAGCAGCAATGACCCCAATTGTGGCATTAATAGTGCCTAAAAACCCATGGGATGGGACTGGAAGGACACTATTTGGAAACCTCAACCTGAAATTGTTCTTCCTTCCTTCTTCAATAATAATTCCATTTTAATTCTAAAGCGTAAGATCGTGGAGGGGCTGGCTTTTTTTTTTTTTTTTAAATGGAAGCAAGTGGCTATAAATCCATGTCCTGCTATAGGATGACTAAGTAAATTGCTTCGGGATGGTAGATGATTAGAATAATGAATCTTTTAATAACGAAGTATCATTTGTACAGAGGAGAAAAGGCAAATCAGCACATCATCCCTGTCTGAGGCATTTAACTCCAAGCAAGATCGGTGTTACGTGTTTTCTGCTGACCCAAGTTTTACTTAAAAAAAAAAAAATTACCACTCTGGCAGCAACAAGCAAAAGATCAAAAAACTTGGTTCTTAAAGTACAGCAGGTACAAGTTACAGAGCAATAGGTGTTCCAAAGGAGGGAGTCTCTCTCTCTCCCTCCCTCCTTCCTTCTCTGCCTCTCTCTGTCTCTCTTTTAAAGCAAGGATTACGAAAACAATCTCTCTCCTCAAAGCCCTTCCAACTTACACAACCCTAGCCATCTCTTTTTCAAGGTGCTTCGACTTCGCCTGCGATCCTTGGCTGTCGCTTTCAGCTGCAACCAGACCCCTCCATTACTCACCCAAGGGAGCTGGATATACCGGTCTGGAGTAGCGCGCCTGTCCCATTCTTCTATACTTCAAGGTAGGCTCGGAGAGAAAGGGAGCAAGACAAGCCGATCCGCGGAACAGACATCAGCCCCTGAAAGTTGACAAGACTCTGCAGGGTGGAGAAACTTCACCGTGTCCCTCCAATCATGCCGAGATCATCCCCCAAGTCGAATGCCCCCCACCCCCCGAGTCATAAAAATGTCCAGGATGATGGGTCGAAGCTCTGCCACGGGTATGTCCTGTATCCCTGGTTCAGGGCACGGTGTAATTCTCATAAATACGCTCCTATGCCAGCTCCCTCCAAAGGAGGAACAAATGCCTGTCATTCCACAGTGCGTATTCTGCTTAGGGGTGGATCTCATGAAGGAGGAGGAGGAGGAGGAGGAGGTGGCTTCGGAGCTACAGAAGCCAAATAATCAACATCCCCTGGGCTCTTTAAAGGCAGGAGTTAAAAGGCTGGAAGGAGGACGAACAAGCAGATGGATTTGGAAGACTTCAAACAGCCAAAACAGCTTATAAACAAGCCACTACTAATTGTCATTCTTCTGCTTTGAAGGGAGAAATCTGAGCACCCTGGTTTTCTTGAGGTTGGAGGTGGTGGTGGTGGAAAGACGGAAACCATCTGAAATGGATTAGCTACCCCTGAGATTCCAACTTCTTCCATATCACGAAAGGAAAAGGAATGATTAAAAAGGAGAGGAAGAGGGAGGAGGGGAACAGAGAAAGGATTCTCATTCTCTGGTGCCAACTGGAAGGACAGAACCGAGAATTAGGTGGTCTTTGGATCGATCAGCACAGAGTCCAAGGGGATATTGGTGCATGCAGGATGCAGTTCTTCATATCATCATTACTATTTTTCAACCCAGAAATGAGGAATCCAAGAGGTAATGTATTCTGAGTATCCAAGCCGCATTCATTGGATTTTTAAAAAAATCTTCTGTCCATGGAGATTCTCAGTCATCCAGGTCATGGTTGTCCCGAAGGTGCTTTTCTTCGGAAAACTGATGATGCTTCTTGGATGAGAAGTGAAATGTCTTCAAGGAAAAACATAAAAAGCACCTTTGGGACTTCATTATCTTCTATTTCTAAATCGACTTCTCTATTGTTGGATTATTCCCATCATTGCCAGATAACACGATCAAGCTAAGAATTAGAGTCAGGATTTGAAATGCTATCTTTTTTGTAAACCATGTCCCTAATTTTCCTTATTTGTATTGCTGCATATAGGACAAAAAACTAAATTTACTAATCCTATAAACATAAGTAGGGAAGAGATTCAAACTAAACATATTTGTATCTCCCCTTATCACCAAATTAAAATTTCCCATCTATAATGCATACAATTGTGAAACAGTCCTGTTCCAGAACAAACCATTAACAGTTTCTTTTTCCGGAAAGTTTTAGAGCCCTATAAATATACATTATGGCTTTATATAGAAATTATATATGATCACAACTTCTATATTAACAGAAATGGGAAAATACTCTGTATCAAAGGAAAACTAAATTTGGGTAAATGTTAAGTATTTGGCTATTAGGAAGAACAGCACTATTTCTTGGATTACTTCTGCAATCAAATACATGTCATCAAATACGGAATTTGCTTTTTAATTCCCCATGTGTTAGATTACCTCAAAATAGCATAGCAATAAAACTGTGCAAGTTAAGAAGAGATGTTATGCTTAAGGCATTTCTAGAACTGTTATTTTGTCCATGAGCTGGACCAATAATTTATTTCCTGCTATTTTGAAGCACTGTTGGAAACCATGAGATGTCATTGCAGATTTTTTTTTATTAAAGTGATCTTTATGAGCTACCCAGACTCCTGTGAACAAAGGAAGAAGTTCATGAACTTCAAAACTTAGGTCTAAATGACAAGTTTTCAAATCTCATCTAAGAAGAAATGCAAAGTCGTACATTCTCAGACCCAAAAGATTAGGTCCACACGTGAAGGTTCAATTATCTGATTTACAGGTACTCATACCTGTGCACAGGAATACTATCAACTAATGCACACCTGCTTGGAGTTAGATATGGGTCAACGGAATTCAAGAGGGGGGACTTAGTTCACTTTTGGCTATGTAGGTATTCTAGACCGATGCCTCTTTTCACTCTTCCCCATGTTCCACCACTCCTCCTACATATGTTCAGTTATATTAAAGGTGAAGGTAAAGCATTTCCTCGCACATATGTACTAGTCATTCCCGACTCTAGGGGGCAGTGCTCATCTCCGTTTCAAAGCCAAAGAGCCAGCGCTGTCCAAAGACGTCTTCATGGTCATGTGGCCGGAAGAATAAACGTCAAAGGCGCATGGAACGCTGCTATGTTCCCACCAAAGGTGGTTCCTATTTTTCTACTTGCATTTTTTACATGCTTTCGAACTGTTAGGTTGGCAGAAGCTGGGACAAGTAACAGGCGCTCACTCTATTATGCGGTGCTAGGGATTCTAACCGCTGAACTGCCGACATTTCTGATCGACAAGCTCAACAACGTCTTAGCCACTGAGCCACCACCTCCCCTTTTATATATTATATTACACAAATATATATTACATATATATTACACTTCCACAAAACTTGTAAATGTGCAACAGACACATGTGACATGTGAGCATCGATGTAACCTAGTTTTATAATGAAACATCTGCAGGAAAGCAACCATTCTCAGAGAGCACCAAAGACCCCACTTGCTCATTTCATTCAAAAAGTTCCCCTTAAAGCCCAAGTTGTTTGTTCTGACCCACTGATAAAGCCTTTAAATACACAATCATTCAAAAGGACACAAAGTCCAGGACTGGCAAAACTGCAGGATCTCAGGAGGGAGATAAGAGAATCCCCTGGCTTGAGGAGGAAGTGTCAGGGAGAAGGCATCTCCTCAGCCAAAGCCAAGATGGATGAGGGAGATTAGCAAGTAGGTGTGTCTGGTAGGTAGCCTTTTCCAAACAAATTCTATCCAGTGATGGATTCAATTCAGAGAAATCCCAGTCAGCATGATCTCGCTATCTATGCAATTTTTGAGAGCTGCCGTTCAACAGACTCTGGGGGCACCAAGATCAAAAATACCGATGCTGTATAATGCTGATGATTCTGTTCTACAGAGGAGCACCTCCATAATTGTCTGGTTTGGCTCTGCAACCCAACAAGACAGACACAGACTTCAACGGATAGTTAGGACTGCAGAAAAAACAATGGCTACCAACCCGCCTTCCATTGAGGACCTGCACACTGCACGAGTCAAAAAGAGGGCTGTGAAAATATCTACAGACCCCTCACATCCTGGACATAAATTGTTTAGAGGTTTAGAGGTTTATTGGGATTTATATGCCGCCCTTTTCCTTGAGGGGACTCAGGGCGGTTTACAATCACAGGGGAGGGGAAGTGCAAGGTCAAAACAAACAATTAGTGAACAAAAGAAAAATAATAAAACACAACTTTCATTCAGCAATCAAACACTCGGGCGGGTGA